CGGTTCTGCTGGTGTTGCCTTTGCATCTTTTCGTTGCTGTTGTTTTTTCAACTTTTGGCGCTTGGCATCGGCTTCCTCACGTAATGTAGTCACCACTTCTGGCGATGTTAAAATGGTCGATTCTATAGGCTTGGGGCCTCGATTTGACTTTTGACCGGTTCACCACGTTTCAGCGGTTTCCAACCGCTTTTAATGCATCGCTAAGATCAGCAACTAATGTTTTGCTGATATTTCATCGATATTATGCATGAAAAATCATGTATTCGCATTGAAAATGCGTTCTGAACTCATCAAGTGTCAAAAATGACGTGTCCCATAATCCCCCACAAAAAGTGTCCCACAATTCCCCACACGCTAATGATCACAAGATGGCTGCGTATGAGTAACTTAATGAATGTTCATGCAAATGCCTTTTGTTTGGTGAAACTACAATGCCATACGATAATTATAAAGATATTGTACTTTGTATATCGTCCCTGCATTTTTTCTATTACTTTTGAAAAATTGAAAATTACGCGCCACCCCAAAAATTGGTCATGCCACCCCATACAATCAATCCTGGCTACGGGCCTGCATTCAATTTATACCGGTAGATAAATTGACGAGAAGTTTTACGTCTGTAAAGGCAGATCCATGTTGATTGCAGAGTGCATTGAGTTGACATGGACTATGATTTGAAACGTAACTAGAGCATTTGATGTTAATTGATAAATAATTCAAAATTGACTTCAAATATAAGAATATTAAGTCGCCAACTCGTGGATGGCTACAACAAAGCACAAAATCAAAATTTACAATAAATAAGTGTAAACATCACAGATAAGTATCATCATTTCAATACACATAAAAGAATGTATGGAAAACAATTCGTCAGTCTTTTAGTATTGATTTTGCTATGTGATTCGTGCGAGATGAGTTGAATACCACGTAGGTGGTTGAGACCTGGGACAGCCCCGCTCGTGTTTGTTGCAATCAGCGGCAACCCAAAGAATGGCACCTGGGCAATATGCGTTGTCCTTGATGAATTCGTCCGCTTGAGATCATGGATCGGGTTTAACGGCAACACGAAAATCTTAATTTCATAATTAATGTATAAAAATAAAAAAATGTAATTCTTATTACTTTATTACCTTCTTATTACTTTAATAAGATGACCTATTACTTATTACTCATCTTATTACTTTGTAATAAGATGCGTAATAAGTAATAAGTCCATTTATAAGTAATAAGTCCATCTTATTACATCAATAAGATTGTAATTGTAATAAGATTGTAATAAGTATCTTATTACTTTTGGCGCAAAGAAAAATCTCAAAAAAAGTTTCATGTAAAAAACATGTCAATTTTTTTCAGACGAAAAAATGTTGAAAAAAAATGTGTCTTGCAAAATTTGACATGGTTTTTGTATGAAATTTTTGAAGAAAAGTAGACAGTAATAAAATGAAAGTAATAAGTAATATGTAATAAGTTACTTATTACTTTACTTCTATAAATTAATGTGGGTGTTCTCGTAGAAAACATATACAAAAATGAGGTTACCTGGATGAAAAATTGACGAGGCGGCCAGGTAGTCATTTGAGTTTGCAAAGCGATCCAGAAGTGGTGTCCGCCATTCTGCGAACCGATGATGCAAAATTCGTCTTTGAGGTCGCTGCTGTGAAAAGTTCCGGCACCATGTTCACCATTTTGCACATTTGAGGAATTGGAACCTCGCGCACCAACTTCATGTGCTTGTCATTGGTCTTGAACTGTTCACAGTGTCTCAACGAACGGCTATGATGAAATGAGACTTGGTCACTAACTGTTGGACAGTTAGCGTTACCTTTGATGATGTCGTAGAAAAAAGTCAATGACGCGTTGACACGTCGACGGCGAAGACTAATCATGTTCAAATCTGACAATCGCTGCTCGTACGGTGTGATTGAGTATTGGTTGTGCACGGATGGGTATTCTCGACGAGCGTACATAGTGAATTGGCGTTGCACGGATTCAATTTTGTCGCTGTGAATTTTGTGGAATGGAAGCCATACCATGGCGCAGTAATCGAACTGAAATTGAACTAATGCAAAATACAGCGACTTTAGTGTGGTAACGTTAGTGATGTCATGGCAGAAGCGCTTGACAAAGCCAAGTGCAGCCATTGCCTTCGAAGTGACCATGTCGATGTGTTTGGCAAAAGATAGCTTTCTGTCAATTAGAACACCCAAGTCCTTGTGTTCAGTCACTTTGTCGAAGGTATGGTCGCCATAGGTGTAGTTTGTATCCAAATGCTGACGTTTCTTGTAGATAGATAGCACTGCACATTTACATTTCTTGAGGTTTAGGTGCAGCAAGTTCACATCACACCAATGCTTAAGTTTGTCGACGGCTTGTTGCAGTATCTCTGCATCTTGCTGAGATTTGATGACTTTGGCAATTTTGATATCGTCGGCAAACAGTAATATCATGATGTCTGGGGGCATTTGATCCATGATGCCGTTGATGAATAGCAGGAACAGTGTTTTTCAGAACAGATTGAATGACCTCAATTTTTGAATCAAAATGTTGTGATCAACTCGATCGAAGGCTTTCGTAAAGTCCGTGTACAGGACATCAACTTGAGCTCCAATGTTCAAGCCACTCTGGGCGTAGTACACAAACTCGGTTAGGTTTGATGCTGTAGATAGTCCTTTCAAAAGGCCTTGTTGGTTAGGCGAGATGCGATCATGAACTGTTTCAAGCAATTTTACGTTGACAAGGTGCTCGAAGAATTTTGCGATTGTTGGTAATTTTACTATGCACCTGTAGTTTTCAATGTTTGATCTGGCGCCCTTTTTGAATATGGGTGATACACTCGATCGTTTCCATTCGTCGGGGAAAAATTTCAGATGAAAGCGACTCATTGAAGATTTTAGACCCAAGATCCAAGCTTTGAGGGCGATGAGGCACGGGTGAACGTTATCTGATCGCGCCAAAAATTTACAAGTCTTTTTTTATGGCCAACCCCCTATGAAAATGAATCACCACATGTGAAATTCGAAAATGACCCGAAAAAACCATCCTAAATATCTATCAGTGAGACTTAAAGAACGCAAGTTTGTCCAACTTCGTAGCAATAAAGAGAAGTATGTTTCATTGCAACTAATAATGGTTAAAACAATGTATGTTCGTTTTTGGCGATTCGTCAGGTTTTGCACGGTTTTCACGGAACTGATAAGAGCTAACAACTTGGTGTCTCCAGTTATCTCTTATCTTTTATCAGTTCCGCGAAAAGCGCGAAAAACGATAAGGAAAAAAATTCCATACAAAATTTGCTTTTTTATGTGCGTGATTTGCGTCCAACTGATAAGAGATAAGAGAAAACTGTCTTCAGCTATGTTATAGAGGACATCGAGTACTACAAATTTGCCGAAGACACCATGTTGTTATCGCTTATCAGTTCTGCATAAACCGTGAAAAACCGCGGAGGCTAGACGGTATGCCATCATACTTTCTTTTAACGCAGATAGAATCAACAGGAAACATACTTTCCTTCTCGAAAATATAAATCAAGAAAAAAACATACATTCTTCTACGTCTCACGAATAGATATATAATTAATGTTTCAGGTTCCTGTTCAAAGGGTTACTAAATATCCATTGCTTTTGGCGCGTTTGTACAAAGTGACACCAGGGCATTTGGAGGGCCGCGAACGTCTTAAAGAGGCTCAAGAAAATATTGAAGCTCATTTGTGTCGGATGAACCGCGTGGCCCAGAACATATCCTCAAAACTATGGAGACGTTTGTCATCCAACCCATTACGAGCACGTGAAAATGATATTGCCAATATAAAACTGAGAAAAATTGCAATTGATTGTCTGGACTGGAACAATGAAAAGGTGCATTTCATTGTAGAAGGTAAACTACTCATCACCCATCCCACGGACAACAATTGGAGAAAGGGCAAAACAATCAAATTAACTCCTGTGTGCGCTTTGTTAATCACAAACGAAATGGTATGCAAATAATTCATTTTAATTAAAAATGTTATGTTCTAATAATGTAATTATATGTCCTAATTTTAGACATCAGCTGTAACATCCGATCATTCCTTCGACTTGACGTTTCCACGGTACTCTCCAAATAAAGAAGCTGCGTTCCTATTGATAAGAGAAAAGTCAAATCGTTATACATTATATCGCGAACCATTTTACTTGGATCGTTGCGTTGTTTGTACAGAGTCAGATTTGGCTGAGTACTTTGAGGTGCACGAAATAGCTTCAAAGGATAGTTTCGTTTTCAAGGTTATTTTATTTTATTTTTATTTTATTAAACACCGCCAAGCTCTGGCTGAATATAATGTGGGTTTTGATTGAGGTTTGGCAGGAAAAGAGTGCAAGACTGTTACATATTTAAAATAATAGACAATTTGTAGCAATAGGTTTCGATAACTATCAGTTCTCGCCTCGTTAAAAACCATGCTCTTTTCGTAAATTATGCGGTAATCACAATAGTAGGAACATGAAAACGAAAACAGTCATGCAACCAAGATGGAAATGCCTGATATTAGTCTATGGCAAACGGTCCAAGATAACCTTTGGTAAACGTTTCCAAGGGACAAAGGCTATGTGAAGCGTTTAATTACGCGTTAATTTGAGACTCTAGGACAGCAAAAGTCGTCGCTCAATTTATACCGGTAGATAAATTGACGAGAAGTTTTACGTCTGTAAAGGCAGATCCATGTCGATTGCAGAGTGCATTGAGTTGATATGGACTATGATTTGAAACGTAACTAGAGCATTTGATGCTATTTGATAAATAATTCAAATTTGATTTCAATGATAAGAAAATTGAGAACTCGACTGGTTTGCGCATATATACGATCCAACTATTGGGGTTTCATATGGAAATTTCGTGTATTTTTAATGCTTTTTCAATCGGACAAAAGGCCTAATTTATGCCAAATAGTGTAAACTAAGCGCCCAAAAAAGATTTTCAATGAATATAATGTAATTTACCAGATTTTTTTGAATCTAGAATTAGAAGCGGGATTTTCGAGTTGGACAAAATTAAGTATACAGTCCGTTTAATATTTGTTTAAATAGATAAAATTCAAAGACATTGAAAAAGTGTGGATACATTATGATGTTGGTGAACCAAGAATGATATTGAAGCATGTTAACCGGCGTTTAAAAGCTTGAAGTTAGATCAACGAAATGCAATAATAACCGATCAAATATTCTAAGTACTTTAAGAGATACAGCCGTGAAAGTATGACAGCTGCTGTCAAAATATCGCCATTTATTTGACATTTGACATTTGAGGACACTAATAATTTATTATGTTTTGGTGGATTGAAAAGTCGGGTACTTTTTGAATGAAAACTCATTTTTTTTCGCAAAATTTAATTTCATTTCTCAATATAGGCTCCTTTTAGCTCGATACAGCGAGCCCAACGATCTTCCAACATTTGGATGTCCTTCAAAAAGTACGATTTCTCTTTCAACTCAAAATATGCTAAATTTCTCCATTTTACTACCAATCATAGCAAACGCTCGCGTCCTAATACCTTACAATTAAGTTTAGATGACTTGCGAGTTAAGAGTGAGACAATGCCCAAAAAATGCAGTATGCAATGCGGCAATTTATAGCTTTAATCAATGGATTTTACCACCATCAAACTAACATGTGAACTGAATGAAAATCGTGGTTAAAATGTGTATTTTCTTCTTTGAACTTTTACCCATTTGACTATGATTTTCTATTCCGATCAATCTGAAAATGACAAGATATGTTCTCCTAATATAATATTCTCCTCTTTTAATATTTCTGTATAGTATTGCCCATTAATATTTCCATATTCCAAATGGTCGTTGTGCAAATCTTCTGAGTCGTTTTTTTTCGATTTGGTGGCCTTAGAGCATTTGAACAATGTCTACTCACTGTTTCGACTATGGGTTCCCATATGTTGGAATGTTTTTAAAATACATCAAGTTCTGACTTATCAATCCACCTAGTATTAATAGATGTGGACCAGAATATTTTTTTAAATTATATAATACAATGTATTGTAGTTCGTTGCAGGGGAGGAGGAGAATTATGATTTATTATATTATTTATGTCATCCCTATGTAAACCCATACACAGTTTCTTATAATACTGCTTCTTCTTCTTCACACTGTCGTACACAATGGGCGCGGCCATATTGAAAATGTATACAGTGTATTGAGTGCCATTTGTGAACATTATAACCAATATGGCGACTTACATGTATAGATGTGTTAGTTAAGAAGAAGAAGCAGTCACACTGCACCGTTCGCATACGGACGATTTATGTTGTGAGAGAGGTAGGAGGATTTTATCCCGCGCAACGTGATTTCTGCTCCACCAGTATTTTGTCTGAGATATACCCTGACTGGGTTTCCGCCACTAAAGAAGGATTCTCTATCTCTTTTTACCACACCATTTGGTAAGACAATATAAAAGTAGTGCACTAAGTGAAGGCATTCCAAAACTGCGTTGTAAATATTCTCATTGCAAACGATTTCATGAATTGTACAACCATGGTTGGAATATTTATAGTGTTACCTCATATTGTTAGCGTTCCCACACTTGACAAACCCCAACTAGAGTTGTACAAATTCGTCTCCAATGACAACATTCACAACGCAGGGTTGGTTTCAGTCCTATGGCGTACAATACTATTCGACGATTCCACACCAAGCGGAACAAAATTTGGAAGTGACCTCGCCGATTTCGCTCAAACTTGGTGTATAAACTTCTTATCGGCAAAAACTCGCAAAGCCAAAAAATTAGGGTGACCTTCCCCACCCAGGGTGACCTAAATATTGAAAAAAAAATGGAAAATGGCACTTTTTTGACATTTTCACACTAGAAAAGTGTGGTACAAACTTTCAAAACTATATGCATGGTTGGATAGATAATCGATGGGGCTAAAAAAAAGTCCACTACGATCACCCCATCCGGGCCCATTCAGGCCCTGAAAAGTGGGTTCAAAGTATAAAATGTGAAAAAAGTCAATTAGACGTGGTTTTATTTTTTCGATTTTTTGAGCTTAAATGGTAGGCAATCTCAAAATCTAAAACATGGTGAATCCGAATCTCTACTTGCTTTTTCTAAAAATGTAAAAAAAAATTTTATGTAATTTTGATCTCACCATTTTCACAGGGATTTTGGCTATATAATTTTTTTACACACCAAATAGGTGGCCTGACGATGGTGGTGTGTTCTGATGAATGGTGGTGTGTTCTAATATTGAAGAAAAAAGTGAAAAAATCGCACAATCACACAACAACTGCCGAAATCAAGGCAGTGGACCTGATTTTTGACCAAAAATGATTGCATTTTCGAATTCCCTGTTGAAAATTAGCTTAAGAATGGCTGGTTTAAATTTCTTCAAGCTTATCTTCAATTTAAAAAAAGCTCGAATGGTTGAATGTTCAAATATACTAAAATTGACTGTGAGTATTTGAATGGAGTTTTTAATTGGCAACATCAATCTGAGTATCATTTGAAGTCTTGATTCAATTTTGAATAGACGATTCTTGAGCTAATTTTCGACAGGGAATTCGAAAATGCAATCATTTTTGGTCAAAAATCAGGTCCACTGCCTTGATTTCGGCAGTTGTGGTGTGATTGTGCGATTTTTTCACCTTTTTCTTCAATATTAGCCTCCCCAATGCCAAATTTGAGCCATATAAGTGACACGTGTTATATGCTACAAGGAACTAGACATCAAGCGCTACATTTAAGGAACACATCGCATCAGTGCTAGTGCCTTTGAAGCAGTTAAAAATGGTCGCATACTTGCAGAAACACGATTTTTCAAACTACCGACCCCGATTTGAGGCAGAAGGAAGGGTTTGATCAAGTTAAAATGTTCTACATATAAGTAGTTTTTTTACGAGTTTTTCGAATATTATAGTGATTTGGGGCCAAAAGCGGGTTTCTGCCCTGTTTTTCCCTAAAATAGTGATTTTTGTGATTTTTCGACTTTTTGAGCCTTCCCTGTCACTCCAAAGGAGAGAGCGGCCCCAACCAATGGTATTATTTGATTCGTTGGAGTCTGCTGGGCATTTCATCAGAACACACCACCATCGTAAGGCCACCTATTTGGTGTGTAAAAAAATTATATAGCCAAAAACCCTGTGAAAATGGTGAGATCAAAATTACATAAAAAAATTTTTTTTACATTTTTAGAAAGTGCAAGTAGAGATTCGGATTCACCATGTTTTAGATTTTGAGGTTGCCCACCATTTCACATTTTGTACTTTGAACCCACTTTTCAGGGACTGAATGGGCGCGGATGGGGTGGTCGTAGTGGACTTTTTTGTAGCCCCATCGATTATCTATCCAACCATGTACATAGTTTTGAAAGTTTGTACCACACTTCCCATAGTGAAAAATGTCAAAAAAGTTCTACAGTCAATTTTGCGCAAAATATCGGCCACCCTAATTTTTAATCAGGTGGAGAAGGTCACCCTAATTTTTTGGCTTTGCGAGTTTTTGCCCATAAGAAGTTTATACACCAAGTTTGAGCGAAATCGGAGAGGTCACTTGCAAATTTTGTCCCGCTTGGTGTGGAATCGTCGTATTTTAAAGTACCTGATACCTTTTCGTGCTTTTTGACAGATGTACTAAATTGAATGTTTTCAATGTCGCCATCTGTTGTTGGTGATACAAATATCTTATCACATGGTTCTGATGAAGATTTTATTTATTGTTTATACAATTTTATACAAAATCACTTTTTGATTCATAAACTCAATTCAGAAAAGAAATCACAGTTATTTCAAAAGTCGAGTTATTTTGCATGCAAAATGCCTAAAACATAAGAGTGAGAAAATTGTCATCATCAAGTTTACACGGCACGACCAATTTCAAGTGTTACAACTTTGTTTTGAAAACAATAGTACAAAATAACAAATGGAAAATCATTCTTTTGTCTCTTTGTGGACATTAATTCCCACATTTTCGATAGAAAGTGAATTTTTTCACACAACTCATAATTTCACAATCACGTTTTAGTACATTTCATTGTTCAATACCGATATTGAACACACCCTAACATCAGCAATGGTATCTGTCAAACTTTACGCTCTGAAAATGACATTCATGGCAAACATTTAAAAACAGTCAATATTTTATTTTTTTAATTTTTATTTGGGAAAACTAACACTTTCGAAATCATACCAAATATTACCCATCATTTTCAAATATTTGAGTTCATTTTTACGGATCTAACGAAATATTTGAAAGTTTTCGTGCCGAGGTGGTGTTGAGACTATACAATTCGGTTGTATCGTTTCGGCACGACCATTTTCAAATACTTGAGTTCATTTTTACGGATCTAACGAAATTTTTGAAAATTGTCGTGCCGAGGTGGTGTTGAGACTATACAATTCGGTTGTATCGTTTCGGCACGACCATTTTCAAAAATTTGAGTTCATTTTGCCATTTGAATGATTTGCCATTTATTATTTTGTACTAGTGTTTTCAAAACAAAGTTGCAACACTTGAAACTGGTCGTGCCGTGTAAACTTGATCATGACAATTTTCTCACTCTTATGTTTAAGGCATTTTGCATGCAAAATAACTCGACTGTTGAAATGACTGTGATTTTCTTTTCTGAATTGAGTTTATGAATCAAAAAGTGATTTTGTATAAAATTGTATAAACAATAAATAAAATCTTCATCAGAACCATGTGATAAGATATTTGTATCACCAACAACAGATGGCGACATTGAAAACATTCAATTTAGTACATCTGTCAAAAAGCACGATTCTTCGCTGCAATAGGAATCATGCTCTTTCCTTTTTCTCCCTCTTTCGTTTTGGGAATGAGGTTTCTTACATTTTCAATGGACAAAAAATTGCAAATCCTTTTTGTTTTATGTATGCATAAGAAAATGAGAAAAGAAACGCATTTTATCATTATTATTACAATAAAAATTCGATGCATAAGCAATAAACTTTCACTTTTATACAACACGTTTGCATGTGTCACATACACAAACGGACTGCGTACACAACAAAATAGCGATGTAGCCACACAATGGGTCGGCATATTATGCTGAGTCATAAATATGCTTGCTTTTAGGCAATGCAAACGCGCAGCCTTGATATATAGAAATACCTGTGCCGGTATTCTTAGTCATTCCGCAAAAATCGTTCGGGATTATTTTTTTTCGTACATAAGACCATATTGGAGTGAAAGAGAGAGATTCCACTATTTTTCAGCGTCCCACCGGAATTATTTCGATAACTCAAGGAAGAGTGGATTGTGTGAGAAATAATTCCGGTGGGACGCTGAAAAATAGTGGAATCTCTCTCTCTTTCACTCCAATATGGTCTTATGTACGAAAAAAATAATTCCGAACGATTTTGGTGGAATGACTTAGAATTCCAGCCCTGGTCTCATTTGCACGTCACAAGGCAGCATAGAATGAAAATTGAATTCTAGAACTGATTGCGCCTTTGAAATGGTTGTTTTAGTGGTTGAGAATATATTTTTCTACCATTGTCATGCATTTTCCCATTTTCTGTCATGCAATATCAATTTTTTCTTTTCATATAGGGGAATGTGGGGAATTTTGGGACACACTTTCTGTTTGGTTCATAACTTGCTCAAAAATATTTTTTTTTCCAAATTTGCAAAATGTACGTTATAGTACGCCAAAAATCCCATCTTCTGGAACTTGCCACTTGTAAAATTTCGAATTAGCTGAAAAAAATTCAGTTGTTGGCGCAAACCCTTTGATTTTTCGATTTTCAAAAACCGGGGGAATTATGGGACACCT